GAGGGAACCGCTCTGGGCAGCAGAGCCTTGCAGCAAGGTACAGCATTTCAAGGACACTCCACTCAATCACTCAGACTCTCCACAGTGGCTTCTCCCCCAGCCTGAAATATTCCCTAAGTAGCCTCATCTTCTCTGAGGCTCCTGGCCTCATGGTGCAAGGTCCCAGCTTAGCCCCCAAAGCCACCTGAACGAGTTTTCGTAACTTCCTAGAACGTCTAGCTTGCTGCTAGCCCACAGGTTAGGACTAAGAGCTTCTGTCCCCATATATTACACTGTCACCGGCAGTCAAGTTCCATCTCTCTGGAGGTACATAAGGGAGGGGCGAGCCATGTAACAAAGTGAAAAGGGAGATGGTGTGTGTTACACAGAATAACCTGGAGTCATCAACTCTGTGTCCAGATCCTTGTCCTCCATTCTAGCTGTCTGATCTTGCACAAGTCAGTTAACTGCTGGGTACTGAAACTTCCTTGCGTACACTGACCTCAGAGAATTCTTGTGCAGAGCAAATAAAACACTACGTCTGAAAGTGCCTAATGAAGAGTGTACAGAATGTTAACTGAATTGGAATCTTAATTCCTTGCTCTCGTCTACACAAGCCACATCTATTGTTTCCCTGTAAAAAAGGGAATTGTTTCACTCCTTTTCTCTCCCTTGAAAGGCTTTGAGTAACCAGATGAGCCCAAGTCCACTAAAGGAAAAGTACAAAAGGCAGGAAGGACCACTCCCTCCGTGAGTCAGTAAGATGCTGGAATGCTACTCTCCCTCAAAAGGCTGAAGAGTAAAACCCAGGGATAGAGAGACAGGGAGAGCTGGAGGGATGGACAGGGCACTTACTTCCATAAGGGGAGCCTGTGGGGGAGCCGTTTAGAAATCCTGGAGATCCTGGGACACCCAGGTTGGCCATAGGGACGTTGCTGTAGCCGTTCATACTGTTACTGGAGGTGCTGTAGTTAGACTGCTGAGGGGTAGAGCTGGAAGAGTAGCCCCGCGGAGAGATGCTGCTTGTGTTGCGGATGTATCCTGGACAACAGAGAGAAAGCCCAGATAAATGAACCTGTACACACACACACACACACACACACACACACACACACACACACACACACACACACACACACACACAGCACAGACCAAATATGGCAGCATATGGCCCCCGGTCTATAGAATTCCAAGTTGACTGTGGGCTGTAGTGGAAAAGTCTGCAGTTTGTCTTCAAACTTTTTATACCTTCCTGTCTCTTCCCCATCTCGCAGAAAACCATATCCCTGTAATTCCCCCCTTCCTCCTCTTTCCCATTGGCAGTCAACATCTCCAACTCACACCAAGGAGTGAATGACTAATGGCAGTGTGCAGTGACATCTCCCAAATCCTACTTCATGTAACGCTAGAGCCCTCTGAGATACTGATGGGTATCACTGAGAAAAGCGTTCTGTGGTCAAATAAAGCTTGGCAGATGGTGCGTACCGTAGCATATTGAAGATTCGTATATGAAGGGCCTGGAGAATAAATAAACCGGTTTAACTTTGCTAACCTAGTGTTTCCCAAATTTAACATAACATAGCATCTTTTCTGGGTGTGATGGGGAAAAGGCATCCTGATAACATTTCAAGAGGCGCTAGCACTCCGAAGATCACGGCTATATAAGTTTGAAGTTGTTACCGTGCCCTGCTGTGTGGGGTGGGGAACATTTTCATTTAAAATGCATTGATAAGTTCATCTAAATGGGCTGTTCTTTCGAAATAATGCCATTTGCAGCAACATGGATAACACCAGAGCTTATCATACTAAGTGAAGTAAGTTGGAAAGAGAAAGACAAATACCGTATGATATCACTTATATGTGGAATCTAAAATATGGCACAAATGAACCAATCTGGGAAACAGAAAGAGACTCACAGGCACAGAGAACAGACTCGTGGTTACCAAGGTGGAGGGGAAGTAGGGGAAGGGGTGGATTGGGAGTTTGGGGATAATAGACGCAAACTGTTACATTTAGAATGGATAAACAACAAGGTCCTACTGTATAGCACATGGAACTATATCCAATCTCCTGGGATAAACCATAATGGAAAAGAATATAAAAAAGAACGTACATATGTGTATAACTGAGTCATTTTTCTGTACAGCAGAAATTAATGCAACACTGTAAATCAACTACAATTCAATTTAAATAAATAAATAAATGGGCTGTTCTTTGACCAAAGACTTGGAAGCATCCGCAATCGAATGCACGGAGATCCAGTCCAGAGTGGGATGAGTCCTCCCCATACTTCTGAAACCCCAGCACAGAGACCTCACCTAATCTATCCTGAAATAACCCACATAGGATAACTGTCTCTAAAGCTATTTAAGAAATGACCCAAATTTAGGGGGGGAAAAAAAAAAAAAGGTAATAATATGTCCCACCCATATTTCTGTAAGAAGAACTCACCCTGAGCATGAGACTGAGGAATTCCCTTGCAATGGATGACAGAATTAGAAATAAAACTATCCCAAGGGTAGGTACATCAGCAGAAACATTTACTCCTTTTAAAAAATGATTTATGATAAATTTAGCACCTTAATAAAATCAACCTGAATGACAAAAACCTTTACTCAATATGCTTTACATGTAAAAGCACTGTTAACTGTGTTGCTGTATTTATATATTTGTATACATTTGCATATATATATATATATATATATATATATAAATATATGTATATATTTATATATATATATATATATATATATATATATATATATATATATATATATATATATATATATATGAGATAATACACAAATTGAAGTTACCAAACAAATCTAAGCCATTCACCCTTGGCACTAGGAATTTGGGTGTAATTAACAATAATAGCAATAACTCAGCTTCTTTCCATTATTCAGTTTGATGATCACAATAGCAGAAGTGTAGATTTTATTCAAATAATACCTGTAAATCTAGTTTTAGTAAGCCTAAACTCTTCTAAATTCACAATACTTAATCTTATTCTTAAATGTTTCCAGTTAAAGGATTCTGCCAGGTACCTAAAGAGCTCAAAGTCTAACAATACACCTAATGTTGAGATAATCCAATGATTGCATTGCTTATCTGGGACACACTCTTTTTTGTTTGTTTGTTTGTTTGTTTTTGCGGGTACGCGGGCCTCTCACTGCTGTGGCCTCTCCCGTTGCGGAGCACAGGCTCCGGACGCGCAGGCTCAGCGGCCATGGCTCACGGGCCCAGCCGCTCCGCGGCATGTGGGATCTTCCCGGACCGGGGCACGAACCCGCGTCCCCTGCATGACTCTCAACCACTGCGCCACCAGGGAAGCCCTGGGACACACTCTTTTGATGGCATAAGAATCAAGCTGTAACTCCTTCCACTCCAGCAGAACCAGCCTTTTAAATGTATAAGATGTTTGCCTTTTGACTCTGAGAAAGGTAGTACCTTGATTATTTCCCTGTGTTGACTCTGAGATGCTGACCCCAAGCTGGCTGCCATAAGAATTGATGCCCATCATGCCACTGTGAGCTGGAGAGCTGGAGAGAGCTGGGATCTGGCTGGGATTCCTGGGGACACTGTACAGGGCTTCAGCAATGTCTGCGGCACGCTTCAAGATGATGTCCTACAAAGTGGCAGGTTGGGGTGAATGTTTTTATCGAGCAATTAAGAGTTAAACTCAAGAGAGTGCAAAATGCGAGCACCTAACCTGGTTATTGTGTGGTGTCCCATAGAGCGCCTCCACCAGATCTGCAGCTCTTTTCAACAGCATTTCCTAGAAAAAGAAAAGAAAGTGTGGGATATAAGCAAAGGTAAAACCCAAAATGGCCAACACAAAGGAAAATTACATATAAAAATCGGAAGTCCAGGCATCCCCCTAAAGTGTAAGTAACTAGCCAAGAGGTCCTATATTTGGTTTGACAGGTAGAATAGGACCACACGTATGAATCCCCCTATAAATGCATATCTATGTGAAATACTTCTCGATAAAAGGGCTCCATAAATAGCTTGGCTACCAAAACAAAACACAACCAAATCAAGGGTAAAGTTGGCTAAAATTAAGAACGTCATGGGAGTTCCATTGAAAACTACTCACAGACCATTCCATTAAAAAAATCTGGTATTCTAATTAACCAAATAGTCTCAAAATGATTGATTGACCTGAGTTTAGCTGCTTGCCAAGGAGTTGTCCAGAGTACTGAAATTATCTTGGCAATGCCTTCTGCAAAATTTTACTCTAATAAAGATGAATTCTTTCAGTAATATTTCCCCCTGTTCACTTTAACCAGAGAGAATTAGTAATCAGTAATCCCTTTCCTCTCATTTTGTCTTCTCCACCTTCTGTTTTTAACAGCCTTTTCAATTGCTATTAACCTACTTTCCAGATATCATCTAATTTAATGGTGGGGCTGGGGATTTTTCCAAGAGGAAAATAAAGGTGCGACGCAGAAGCAACTGCGGTGCTTGAATTTCACTCACACTACAGAAAAGAGAACATGGCATTTTATAATGTATGTGCTTAAAATGTAAATTAAAATGTTAAAATTCCATAATTTCTCATTAATTAATACCTAATAAATTGACTTTTTTTTTTTTTTTTTTTTGCGGTCCGCGGGCCTCTCACTGTTGTGGCCTCTCCCATTGCGGGGCACAGGCTCCGGACGCGCAGGCTCAGCGGCCATGGCTCACGGGCCCAGCCGCTCCGCGGCATGTGGGATCTTCCCGGACCGGGGCACGAACCCGTGTCCCCTGCATCGGCAGGCGGACTCTCAACCACTGCGCCACCAGGGAAGCCCCGACGTATTTTTAAATAAAGAAAGCTAAAATAATGGGCCAGATTCACTATATAATTTTTGTGAGCAAGTTCATTTGAAACGGATACATTTCATAGAAATTATATATGGATGTGTTTTTCACTTCCTTAAATATCTGTGTCCGTACTAGGCCTTCAGTGAATACTTGATTGTGGATTACTATGTCCCTGTAATTACGGGTAAACAAAATTACGTTTAAATACAAAGGAATGGGGACTTACACTTTTAAGCAATTATATAATTATTTATTTTCATAAAGTTGGCAATGTTTTATAAGCTGAATAATTGTAGTGTGTTTGTTTCATAGGCCCAACTTTTCAGATTTCATATTTCCTCCGAGACTGACCATAACATATTTCACAGTTAGTAGATATTTCATGCGCATCTTGTATCTCCAGCTTAGCCAAATTTCAATGCCTAATTTAATTTTAAAGAGACTTAAGTCGCTAGATTTATCTAAGTTTGCTGAAATTCTCCAAGAAGGTTTTCACGTGTCATTTTCCAAAGCATTTTACCTTAGCTAATCTCTCAGGATCTCCAGGATGCCTTGGGATGACTTTCTGCAGTCTCTGAAAGCCATAGTCTATGGTGGGTTCATTTAATGCTGAAAAACAAAAGTCTTCTTTTTGAGTATATAAACTGGCCATAAAGCAAAGCTTCTAATAAGTCTGCCACGGGTAATAGAAAGGTCTCCAAATTTCAGGATTATTATAATTATTTTATCACTTCTGCCTTAAGTACACACACTTATCATTCTCTGCTCACTCACAAATAATCAGAAACATTACAAAATCAACCATATCCCATCCCAGTTTCTTAGGAAGACGATAAAGTACCTTGACATGCTTTTTCCCTTCTTCCCTCTTTGCCTCCTTCCCCAGTATACCTTCATCATCTAGTAATTCTTCTCCTAAACATCACTTTTTCTTAATTATGCTCTTAAATATTTACGTTCATACATATATAAACCTTCTGTGAGTTTATTCTCATAAAACCCTCTTCTTACGCATAATAGACTTTCAGAATTTTCAATTATGTTTTGTTACACATACGTTCACTTCATGTCAGGCTTCACCAGATACCGCCAAGTTCCATAGGAGCAGAATTCACACTTATTTTGTTTTGCCACTGTGTTCTCATTGTTGGAGACAGAGCCTGGCACATAACAGGCACTTAGTGTCAGCAATTGTAAAATGAATGAGTGAGGGAATGAATGAATGAAGGACCTATTTTGGCATTTCTACTGTGCTAAAGAGTTTTGGGGGTTGATTCCTTTATCCTTTGTCCTTCTTTCCTCTCCTTTACTTTTTAAAATTTTGTTGCTTATATTTTATGGTTTTAAAATTAATACACGATCAAAGTAAAGAAAAAAGATATAAAGGGTAAAATAATAATCACCTGCACTCCCATTAGGCAGCAGTAAACACATGAGAGTGTATTTCCTTTTTTTTTTTTTTTTTTTTTTGCCGTACGCGGGCCTCTCACTGTTGTGGCCTCTCCCGTTGGGGAGCACAGGCTCCGGACGCGCAGGCTCAGCGGCCATGGCTCACGGGCCCAGCCGCTCCGCGGCATGTGGGATCTTCCCGGACCGGGGCACGAACCCGTGTCCCCTGCATCGGCAGGCGGACTCTCAACCACTGCACCACCAGGGAAGCCCAATCTTACTTTTTGCATATATGTTTTGTAAATATTTGTTTCTTTTATTTGAACTCTCAAAGCAACACCTTTTATTTAAAGAAATTATTAAAAATTTAAAATATAGAAGCAAAAATAAAATCATCCATAATCTCACCATTTTAGAGATGATCTGGGTTGACATTTTTGCTTATATCCTCCAAGATTTAAACACACACACATACTTAAAATTATTCAGAGCGTACTATTCACACCATTCCATAACCTACTTTTTATCCATTTAAAAATATATCAAATTTTCCCCCAGGTTATTAAATATTCTTTTATAACATTATTTAAAATGCCTGCATATTTTTCCATGACATGGTCTATAATTTATTTAAATGGCTTCCTAATGTTTGGCATTTAATGTGGTCCTAATTTCTCACTATTATAAAAATCAGAGCAAAAATTATCCTTTGTGCATAACTTTAATTCTTTTAATTGGAAAATTCTAAGAATTAGAATTACCAGAGAAAAAATTATGATTTATATTTAAGGCCTTTCACACATACTGTCAAACCACTCCTCAGAAGAACATATAAATTTGTACTCCCTCCAGCAAGGCATGTGGTCATTTTAACTTACATTTCTTTATTCATCAGTGAGGCTGACATTTGTTTCTTCTACTTGCTGATCATTTTAATTTTTTCTTTTATGAACTGCTTATAATACTTTCTGCACTCTTTTCTATTGAGAATTAGGCTTTTTTTTTTTTTTTTTACTTGTAAAAACACTTTACATATTAATACTTTTAACACTCTGTCACCACGTTACAACATTATGTCCAAATTTGTCCTTAGGTATTACAGGTAGAAAGACCATCCCAACTCCAAGATCTGGCAAGTACACATTCACATATTCACACACACACACACACACACACACACACGGGGTGGGGGGGGTGTTGCATATACATATACGAATTCTTTAGGTCCACCAGTAAAATGTGTACTGTTCATCATACAGGTAATAAGATTTTTGGTTTTCATTTTTTGCTATGTATTTCACTTTTTGTTGATTTTATTGTGAATATGATTACTCCCTCATCATATTTTCTAAGAGTTTTACTAGCACCTAGAAACACTTTGGTTGTTATGTGTCTGCACAGGCAGTGTGTGTGAGGGGAGTGTGTGGTAGTATATACTATAGTCATTAAGAGAATCAGCTTTAGAGTCAAGTAGATCTTGGGTTTAAATTCCAGCTCCGCCATTAACTTCTGTGAACTTCTGTTTAAAATCCATCTCGTGGGTTTGCTGTCATAATTAAACGAAACAATGTGTAGCATGCCCCCAGCACAGTTCTTTGCAGGTAAAAGATCTTAACCAATAGTAGTTGTCTCTTAGTTTGTAACCAAACCCCTGACAGATGTACTTATTTGTTCTGTTCATTCTTAGGTTTGTACATTCAGAGCATCTATATGTGATGATCATTTTGTCTCCTTTTGATAAGTATATTAATTCCGTTTAGTTCTCTGAATCCCGTTCTCGTATTGGCTAAAACTTCCCAAAAAGTGTCTGAAAAGAGGATGATAGTGGATATTCTTGCTGTTTTTCCTTAAAGGACACTAACACTTCAGCACCAAATGTGATGTTGGCTATTTGAGATAGATATTAGTTATCATGTTTTTTTTTTTTTTTTTTTTTTTTTTTTTTTTTTTTGCGGTACTCAGGCCTCTCACCGTTGTGGCTTCTGCCTCTCCTGTTGCGGAGCACAGGCTCCGGACGCGCAGGCTCAGCGGCCATGGCTCACGGGCCCAGCCGCTCCGCGGCATGTGGGATCTTCGCGGACCGGGGCACGAACCCGTGTCCCCTGCATTGGCAGGCGGACTCTCAACCACTGCGCCACCAGGGAAGCCCTAGTTACCATGTTTTGATAAGGGCTTTTATCAGGACTTCTTAGAATTTTAGGGAATTACAGTCATATGAATTTTCTCCCTGGACCAATTTAAATTGTATTTTAGAGTAGATTTCTCAATATTTCACAATTAATCCTTGACTCATGGATGTGGTATATAATTTGCTTAGTATACTTCTGAATACAATTTGTTACTGTTTTCTTATGATTGCTGGTGGGAGGATGAAATCAATTACATTACTGAGAATAGTGCCTGGCACATTTTAAGCCCTCAACAAGCGTCTGTTACTATTATTGTTGCCGGGGATTTGTGTGCCCATGTTAATAACTGGGACAGTGTGCATGGTGTTGTTGGCTTCTGAAGTTTTATTTTATACCAGCTTTGAAAAAATAGATTCAGAAGCTTTCTATATTTTATCCTATGCGCTCTAAAACTTATATTGCATGGATATTATCTCTTGACTTAAAGTTTGAAAGAACCCTGGAAAAGCTGTCCTGCTGGAAATACTTAACACTCATTGGCTTTCCTGAATGCACACTGCCCTGTTTCACCCCTGCCGCTCCACTTCAGTCAATCTCAACCTACTTTGAGGACTGCTCTTCCTCTGTCCGTCTGATGCTTCTTGTTGCCAAGGCAGTCTTCTGCCTGCCTATAAATTCTTCCTCAGCAACCTCATTAGTGCCCCCAGGATTCCCATGTCAGGCTACATGCTATGACAAATCTTTACTTCCAGTTCAGATAGCTTGCCCAAGATTCAGCCTTATTTATCCAAGTATTGGCTGGAAATGTCCACCTGGAGGACCCATAGACTCCTCCCATTCAAGATACCCCAACTGCTACCCCAGTAGTAGTCATGCTACTCACACTGAATAGCCATGAGCCATCAAGAAATCATGCATTTCATTAAGATTTTAAATGTTTTAGCATAGAATCTAATACAGTATTTGTTTAAAATTTCTACTCTCCTATTTACGACTCTCCACACAGTCCCTCACCCCGCACCAGCTCTGTTACAACATTCTGAATAGTCCTGTTTCTAATTTTGTCTTCCTTTAGTTCCAAAGAGAATATCCTAAAATTTCTAGGTGACTGAGTATTCAACTCTTAATTATTTATTCTAATTAATTGCACTGGATTCAAAAAGGTGGCCTGCAGAATATCTGCCTTTTGAAATTTATTAAGTTTTTTGTGAATTCGTATTAGTCTTGTCTGTGTTCCACGGGAAATGCTTTCAATGTATTATTTAATGTATCTTTTTGATCGTATTATTTAACATCTTTTATACATAATTGCTACTATAAATTTATCCTTCCACATGTTCCTGGTATGTCTAATAGGTTTTTAATGTATACGTTTTTCTCTAGTGATTAGGAAGATGCACATCCTATTTTAATTTAAAATAGTCCCTCTGGGCTTCCCTGGTGGCGCAGTGGTTGAGAATCTGCCTGCTAATGCAGGGGACACGGGTTTGAGCCCTGGTCTGGGAGGATCCCACATGCCGCGGAGCAACTAGGCCCGTGAGCCACAACAACTGAGCCTGCGCGTCTGGAGCCTGTGCTCCACAATAGGAGAGGCCGCGATAGTGAGAGGCCCGCGCACCGCGATGAAGAGTGGCCCCTGCTCGCCGTAACTAGAGAAAGCCCTCGCACAGAAACGAAGACCCAACACAGCAAAAATAAAATAAATAAATGATTTTTAAAAAATAAAATAAAATAAAATAAAATAGTCCCTCTGGCTTTCTATAAAAGTATTTTATTTTTCCTAATTGTTTGAGTCTATGGAGCCCCTCCACCTATAAAAAAAACTGTTGCTTACCCTTAATTTCCCCACCTCATTCTCTGTACTTCTGCATTTTTGTTGATGGTTCATCCTCTTCAGCTAATATTCCTATTATTAGATTTTCTATGATCTGTCCCTTTAAGACATTAATTTTCATGTTTATGTTAAGCTGTGTCATCATACTAACAATAATTCAGATACTATAATGTTTAACCGCTTTTTCTGCTGACCAGTGGTCCTGTGGTACCGTAACTTTTCCTTTCTCGCATTCCTCACTGATCAGTTCTCCAGCA